GGATGGGTGGGTGAGTGGATGGATGGATGGATGGCTGAGTGAGTGGATGGATGGGTGGGTAGACGGACAGCAGGTGAGTGGATGGATGGAGGGACACATGGATGGATGGATGGATGGATGGATGGATGGATGGATGGGTGGGTGGACAGATAGATGGATGGGTGGATAGGCGGACAGACGGATGGGTAAATGGATGCACGTATGGATAGATGGATGGACACATGGATGGATGGACAGATGAGTGGATGGATGGGTGGGGGTAGATGGATGGGCGGTGAGTGGATGGATGGGTGGGTAGATGGATGGGCGGGTGAGTGGATGGATGGATGGATGGGTGGGTGGGTGGACAGACAGATGGACAGGTGGATAGGTGGATAGATGGATGGGTAAACGGGTGTACGTATGGATAGATGGAAGGACACATGGATGGATGGACAGATGAGCGAGCGGATAGATGGGTGGGTAGACGGATGGGCGGGTGAGTAGATGGATGGGTGGACAGACGGACGGGTTGGTGGACGGGTGGACAAACGGATGGAAAGACTGATGCATGGATGATCAGATGAATAAATGACAGACAAGGTTCTTGAACCCCTTCCGCTAACAAGGAGCAAGTGAGAACACCCGAGAGAGGCGGGGACGGAAGCTGGAGAAGGAGCACTCCCAGCCTCCGCCGCTCACCCTGAAGGTCAGCTGAAATGTACCCGGAGAACAGGAGGCTCCGAGTTCTCCTGACCAGCAAAGACCGCGGAAAGTATTTCCAGCCCACGTCAGAGACGGGCTCTCTGGCTGGGAGTGAACACTGGACGCAGAGCAAGGGCGGAAGACGTGGTGGGACTGCCCGGGGGGTGGGGGGGCGGGCAGGTGAAAGCGAGCGGGGTGGGGTGGGAGGGGTGACAGATTCCAGACCCGGCACCACGGAAGAGCCCATGCCAGGCGGAGCTGGCCCGAGCGGGAACGGCGGCGGGGAGCCAGAGGGAGACAGTGTCGACCCGTCTCCATACCTGAGTCATCGTGAAGTTCGGGAGTGATGATGTCCTGGGGGTGCCAGACACGCCCTGAGCCGCGGGGTAACGTGACCCCCCCCCCCCGCCCCCCTGTGTCTCACAGATGCGGTGAGAACTGGAGGGAGCCTGGACATACCGCCTTGGGGAGCACTCACCCTCAGAGACCTGGGTGCTCGGGAGTCGGGCACACGCACCTCTCATCCACGTTGGCCGATCCGAGCACCAGCAGTCCACCGCGAGCACCCCGGGCCCAGAGGCTCAGCTGAGCAAACAGATAGGCCACGACCATCCGTATCCGAGCCTGGGTGACACAGCGGGAAATGTCACCCCGTGCCGGGCATGGGGCACACACACACTGGCACCCTGCTCCCCGTGCGGCTCCAAAGAAAGAGTCCAAGTAACACGAGAGCTTTCCAGCGTCCAGAGGAAACAGGGTCCTGCGATAATTGTGTGCACTGAGCGGCCCCCGGATCAAAGACGGAAGGACCCGGAGCCGGGGTGCGGAGGGAGCTTCGGTGGCAGGATGGGGCTGCAAAGAACTCTCGGCCACTCCTTCCACCCCCTTCACAGCTGGCTTTGCTGGAGGAGGGAAAGCCACCGTGGCCACGAGAAAAGGGACAGAGATGTGACAGAGCCCAGTGGCTGGAGCCCAGGGTCCCTCTCTCCCTCCACCCACTGCAGGGCCCGGCTCCCCTGCGGCAGCCCGATCCCTGAAGACGCAGGAGCCTTACAGGCACACTCACGCACACGCGCGTGCACACACCCCACCCTCACGCTAACACACGCTCCCAAGCCCTCTTACGCTGACGTGTGCGCACGCACACCCCACCATGTTCACTAACACACTCTCATACCCACACGCACGCACTCACATCCCCTCACGTATTTTCACACACCCACGCCTGTGCCCACACGCCTCCTCCCCCCCCACTAGCACGTGCACTGAGACGCACACACGCGCACACATGCGCACGCACCTGTGCCACCGTCGCAGACACCCACAGCCAGTCGCTCTTGCAGATGCGCGCACACCCCCGGCCTCCCCCGCGAGGCCCCGGGACGCCAGCCCGGCTGGGGGCGCACCTGCACGTTCTGTAGCGCCAGGTTTTCCCGGCGGCTTCCTCCGTGAACCGCGAACAGAGGCCTCTTCCCCGTCGCCAGACTGAAGATGCCCACGACGGCCTTGACCGCGGGGTCGATGTCGAGACCGATGTGGTGGCTGTGAGGGGAAAGGGCAGGTGTGCGCAGGGCCGGGGGCACCTGGCGCGTCCGCGTGCGGCGTGGCCACCCCTGTGGAGCTCAGGACTCCCCCCCCCCGGCCCCCCCGGGGAGCCCTGTGTCCGGACGTGCCACGGAGATGCCCACGGTACGTGGTGCTGTGGCTGGACTGTTTCCCTGGGCACCACATTCTCGGGGGTCCTTCCGAGGTAGCGGGTGTCAGAAGCCCCTTCCTGAGGCCGAACGACGTCCCGCCGTGGACACGGACCGCATCTGCTCACTGCCTCGTGTGCCAAGGGACACTGGGCCACTCCTACATTCTGGCTGCCGTGCTCAACGCTGCCGTGAACACGGGGGCAAAACGCCTGAGTCCCCGCTCTCAGTTCCTCCGGGGACGCGCCCAGGAGCACTGCTGGGTGGGGCCGGTTTGGGCTGAGAACAGAGGACTCTGAAAGGACCGAGTCTCCCTGACCGGAGAGATGCCCTCTCCGACCCTGCTCCGGCCCAGGGAAGAGGGGGGCGGGCCCTCACAGCGCCAGCCCACTCCCCAGAGCCGCGAGTGGGGTCCCGGGCTCCCACACCGGGCGGCACATCAGCCCCGGTGGCCAGTGTCTGGGATGCCAGGAGGGGGCGGGGATGGAGGCGTGGGAATCCGACGCGGCTACGGGGGGCGGGGGGAACAGACACGGTTTCCCTAAAACCGGGCTCGCGCCAGCGGCCTCTCTACCTGCCGATCTGCCGGGCCAGCTCCGCGGCTCTGTCACGTGTCTCCCGGGAGGAGTTCTCGCTGGCCATGTAGCAGGTTGTCAGCACACGCCCGCAGAGCTCTCGGGGGTCCCGGGGCGTGTAGTCGAGCTGGTCCACGATGGTCCGGACGTCGGCCAGCACTTCCTGATCTGAGAACCCGCAGACAGCAGGCGGTGCTCAGGGCCCAGACCCTCTCCTCCGCCCCGGGGGCCGTCCCCTCCTACGCAGCAGCCCCCTCGCTCCTCTGGCACGCACGCCACGGGGATGTCTGACACAGAGCGCGTGGGGGGAGGCTTTCGACCCGGGTTTGCCTGACCCCGAGGCCGTCCATGTTCCTCCCTCCAGGCCACGCTTCGGGCACACGGCCACGGCCGCCCTGGCCCAGAGCCCCGGGAAGGGGCTTCACTGGCCTGCTGTCCCCAGGTCCTGTTGCGACATCTGAGTGCATCGGCGGAGCCTCCCTCACCCTTGACGGCCAGGACCCGGGGTTCGCCTCACCCCGTCCTCCGAGCCCCGGAGCCTCGCTCAGACCAACGGACGCCACCTACTTCCGTTATTCACGGCCTCGCAGACCTGGCGGCACATGGAGTAGACGAGGCAGGCGGTGGCCGCGCTGTCCACGCCACCACTCAGGGGCAAGAAGAAGCCGGCCTGGAATGGGTCAAGCAGAGGCGGGTGTGGGCAGGGCCTCGGAGAAGCGACGCGCCCAAACCTCAGCCCAGCTCCACCTGCAAACCCTGACGGGCACCCACAAGAACGTGTGGGCGTCAGCGCTCTCGCCGTGGGCCGCGTGTTCCGGATGGATTATTCTAGAGGGAAAACAGACCTCGCGCTGCGATGAGCATCCAGGACTAAACCCCGGTAAGTTACAGACGTCACGACACAGAACCTGTGGGACGTGTATTCCGTTCCCTCTGGACGTCATCAGACGGGACCCCAAAGGCGGAGCCAAACCCCCGGGGGGTGCTCTGGCCTCTGGCTAACGTGGATTAAGCTCCTGACCGAGGCACAGCGAAGCAGGGCTCGCGTTGGGGGAAGAGCCCACCAGCCCACCACAGAACCGAACAAAACACTGCAAATCTTACCTGCTGGCTGCGTCTTAAGAAATCCCAGAGCCAGCAGGCGGGTCCAAGGCTGCAGAAGAATGCGAAGCGTTAGGGCCGGGGGCTGCGGACCCGTCGGCAATCTACCCCGGGGGCAGCTGGCCAGGCGGGAGCGGGGCCAGTGAGAACGGCCAGCAGCGGCTGGGCCCAGCGCCTCGTGAGAATTAATGCCCTCTTGTCTCCAGACAGCGCTGGGAGAGGGGGGATGCCTTTGGCTCACTTTAAAACAGGAAAACCGAGGGGCACCTGGGTGGCGCAGTCGGTTAAGCGTCCGACTTCAGCCAGGTCACGATCTCGCGGTCCGTGAGTTTGAGCCCCGCGTCAGGCTCTGGGCTGATGGCTCGGAGCCTGGAGCCTGTTTCCGATCCTGTGTCTCCCTCTCTCTCTGCCCCTCCCCCGTTCATGCTCTGTCTCTCTCTGTCCCAAAAATAAATACACGTTGAAAAAAAAAAAAATTTAAAAAAAAAAAAACAGGAAAACCGAGACGCAAAAGCAAAGGGCAGGGCTAGTGTGCCCAAAGCCCCCCGCACGAGGGAGCGACAGGGCCGGGACGGGGAGGGGAAGCCAGGCCGTCCGGCTGCGGCATCGGCGCCCTCGCCCCCGAAGCAGCGCGGCCTCCTCCTAACCAAGCAGCCGCCCCGGGCAGGCGGTGAGGCCCAGCCATCCGCACTGGTTCAGGCCCCTGCAGCGGGCGAGGGTAGGGGCCGCGGGGACAGCACGACCCCTCCGCGTGCTCTCGGGCGGCCACCTGATCTCCTCGGCGGGACTGTGGTACTTCCACTCGAGGGGCTCGGACAGAGGCTCCAGCAGGTCCTCGCGGGACGAGAGGGCGAAGTCCACCTTCACTCGGGGGTAGGGGCTCGCCTTGCTGGCCTGCCGACGGAGATTCACGACAGTGACGCCCCCCTCACAGGCCGCTAGGGCCGGCCGAGGGACAGACTGTCAGCCAGCGGGAAGGCACGTCAAGCCCACAGCGGTGGCCCCACCCCCGCGGGGCGGCTGGAGCCAGAGAGACGGGCGGTGGCAGGCTCGGAAGCCTCGTGCGCTGAGGTGGCCCCTCCGGGGATTAAAGCAGAGTGACCGTGCAGCCCGGCGGCCGCGCTCCTAGGCGCGCACCCGGGGGAAGCGGGAAGAACGCCCGCGCAAAAACTCGCACGCACGTCGACAGAGCGAACTCCTCACAGACCCGGCGTGGGGACGATCTGAGTGTCCTCGGCGGCTGGACGGTCACAGTGTCGTCCCGCCCAGGAAGAGGCATGAAGCCCGGACACCCGCCACAACGCGGATGGGCCCCGCAGACGGCCTGCTCAGGGACAGAGGCCGCACGAAGGCCCTCGGGTTCATGGTTTCATCTCCGTGAAACGCCCACAGTGGGCGGGTGGGGGGCCCGGGCTGGGGGCGGGATGTGGAGTGGAGGTGGGCGGGCACGGGAAAGTCTCCTTGGGGTGAGGAGGTCCCCCGCTGCCAGGACACCGACGAGGCGATGGCTGTGCGGCCCCGTGAGCGTGCTACATCCCCCAAATCACGGGGTGCCGGGGACATCCCAAGAAGCTGCTGTCACAAAAAACCACAAAGGGCTCCGGGGCCTTTGTCAAACGTCCCACGTGTGTCCACGAGAACTCACCGCCAGGTTTCGAGATGAAATCTCTGCCCTGTAGCTCCGGACGTCCTCCAAATCCAGCGTCGCGGTGAGAACTTCCTGGAGGAGGGGGTTTCGAAGGGAACGCGTGACTGCTGGGTAACTGGGTGGTTTTCGCAGACGCGCCAAACTGCACACGATGAGTCCCACCTTCTGCGGCAGGGACTGGGGAGCTGTGGGCCCCTAGGGGCCCGGGGAGAGGGGACAGCCAGTGTTGTTGCTGACCTGCAGCCCCGCCCTCTCGCTGCTGCCCCCAGAACCTCCAGTGAAGTCGGACACCTAGCAGCGGTCCCCTAATCACGGCACAGGATTCTGCTGATCAGTATCGGCCGGGACCTCTGAGCCAGCTTCTCTCTTCTTAGACAGATGCATGGGAGACAAGGGCCCCTTTGCTGCTTTGGACGTGGTTGTGTGGAGACGGGATGGCTGGAGCTGCTGCAGCCATCCTGTGACCATGAGAGGCAACCCAAGCTCCAAGCCCACACAGGGGAAGGACAAGCCGGACAATGGCAGACGGGTGGTCAGAGCTTCGGCAGTCCACGCCAGTGCCCCTGCCTAGGTGTGCTGCTATGTGACAGCAGGTGACACTTCCCTGCCTTCAAACCCAAGTGAGACAGGAGTACGAAGAGTCAAAAAACACCACAAAATAGGAAAACAATTAGATTTCCAAAAAATCCCAAAAAAGAGAATTTTAATTTCATTTTAATTTGTCATATTATTCCTTTTTCTACAAAAATAACTCCTGATCAAATTATGTCACCGTGACGTTGTCTCTTCACGTACAACTGTGGGACAGTGGGAGCTAACCGGCACAGCACAGGGGGACACAGGACGGCCGTGGCCACCCTGCTCCTGCACCGGCCCCGTGGGCAACTCTTGCTGTCAGCACCGGGCCCGGGCCACTCTGGACGTGCCACAAAGACCAGCAAAACGGGGCTTGCGTTTGTCCTCCCATCATTTCCCGAAGCGAGAGGCCGCCAAAGCCACCCAAAGTGCAGACCCCTGGGGTCCCAGCCCCAAGGCCTGGCCAGGGCCCAGAACCTGCTCCTCCCGGTACAGGTGGCCCCCTCCACTGCCAGTCAACCCTGCGCAGGCCACCCGTGGCCCTGACGTCCACCCGCCGTCCCGGCCACACCGACCCGGCCTGAAGACAGCGGGGCGTTCCCGTGGGACGCAGAAGAGTGGCGCCTTTTTCACGAACTTGACCCGCCTCTACCGTGACTAATGCCGAACACCTGAAGGCCTGTGGGGGTGCTGTCACCTGGCGAGCACGGCCTGGGGGACAGCTGGGAGGGAGGGAGCGTCCCTTCTGCCAAACTCCCGCCCCCCTCCCCCCAGCAGGAGAGCATCACGGAGTCCACTCGCTCCGCTTTGAAACGTGACTTCGGTTTCACACCTGCTTCCCTCCTAACCCCAGCGGGTCGGCGAGGGGACCAGCGTCCCCTCAGCGAGCCGAGTGCAGAGGAAACGAACGGGAGGGTTCGCGAACTGGCGTGAGCTCGCGCTGCCGTGTCCCTGCGGACCTGTCTTCCGCTCCCACCTGCCCCCGAACTAGCGTTTCCACCCGACCCCCCGAACACGGGTGGTGCCGCACGAGGGCCCCTCGTGCCCGCACAGCCGAGGGTCACTTGTGGCGTCTGCACGGCTGGCGTTCATGTCCGTCTCCCGTGACAACAGCCATTTTTTTGTTCTGAACTTGAAAGACCTGTCGGCGCACAGACAGCACGGACACGCGCCCTCGCTGCAGAGGGCGCATCTCCCTCAGCTTCTCAGAGGTCGGCCCGGTCAGGGCAGGACGGGACAGGTATCTCAGCCTGCCTTCCTGGTTGTCCCCCGCCCCCCCGCGCCCCAGGGCTGTGGCGACGCCTCCTCTGAGCTCACCCCACGCCTCCCTGCACAGACGTGCCTGACCCCAGCCCGCTCGCGTGTCCAGGGAGACCAGACGGCCCACGGAGGGAGGCCTGCCCCAGGGGAGCCTCGGGGCTCCCAGGACTCGGGGCCAGGGTGCTGTGAGGCCCACGGCTAACACAGGTGGCCCGGACATGTGAGGAAGAGCCAGCGGGTTGCGTCAAGTGGCCTCACCGAGCTCCCCTCCACCCTGCTTCTACGGACGAGGCCCCTGCCGAGGGACACCCTCCTGCGGGGACCGGGTGGTGCCTGCTCACTCCCTGGGGGACTGGGGCTCACCAGCTCTCCTGTCACGACACAGCCTGCCCCCCACAGCACCTGCCTGCTCGCCTGCCCCCCCAGGCCGTGCACATGCGCCCCTCGCGCTGTGGTGGCTTCATCTGTCCAGGCGGGGCGGGTGCTGGCCGCGGGGTGGGGTGGGAGGGGCCCGGAGACGACAGCCCAGCACGAGGGCTCGGTCACGGAAAGGAGCAGGTGCCCCTGGGGGTTGCGAGCTCGCTCTCACCACGTCGTCCAGGGAGAACTGGGAGCCCTGCGCCAAGATGTGGCCGTTCATCGCTATCAGGGCACAGCCATCGTAGTATAGTCGGTCCCCGTCACAGCCCTTCTGATTGGCCAGCAAGTAGATCCCGCCGTTCTGGAGAATGCAGGGGGCACCGACATCACCGTCCCTTCCTCGGCCCTCCCAAGGCCTTAAACAGCGCCCTGCAGGGAACCCCCCCCCCCCCCCCCCCCCCCCCGCCGCACTTCCCCATAGAGAAAGTGCCTGCACCCGGGGGGGGGGGTGCACAGTAGGGCCCGGGACAGTGACCCGCCGGCCTTCCCAGCCTCCAGGCATCACGCCCAATGCCCCTCCCCTCACTGCCCCCCAGCACCCCTCACGCACTGACTGTCGTCTCTGACACGGGAGGAGGAGGGTCACGGAAGACAAACCCCACAGCGTGGAACAGAGACCCAAACCCGCCCCTCGCGGGGTCACGCTGCCCAGCAAGGGCAGCGCCTCGGGACAGCTCCCTGCGCTCCAGCTCGGAACCACTGAGCGTGCGGCCAGCGCGTCACTTGTCCCTCGATGGTGCCTCGGGCCCCAGGGACCTGACGCCGGGGCAGGAGGTGCCCTGCTGGCCTCACAGGGTCAGGGGAGGTCGGGCGCGTGAGGCCCCAGAGGGCGAGTCAGCGCCCGTTTGCAGAGCGCTGGCCGAAACTGCGGGCACCGATGCCCGTCGTGCGGGCCCGGCCCTGCGTGGGCACCGGGGACTCGGGGGTGTGAGGACGGACGCGGCACGGGCCCGCGGCACGCGTGCTCCAGCATGGCGGCCCAGCGCCTACCTTGGTGGTAGCCATGGTCACCAGATCCACCCTGGCGTGGGCTTTGCGCAGCACGTGGTGGCTGCCTGAGGCGTTGGTGAAGATCTCCACGCCGTCCAGGCCCATGTCCACGTGCGGGCTGCGGGCAGACGGCGGTTGACGGCAGGATGGGCCCCGTGCCCCGCCCGCCCAGCCCCACTGTCTCCACCCGCCAGGCCGGGGCCGGGGCTGACCTGTGGGGCGTCCAGAGCTCCTCACAGATCTCGCTCCCGATGCAGGTGTCGCGGGTGGCCAGCACAGCGTCTCCAAAGGGCACGGTTTCCTGTGGTCAGAGGACAGGAGGGCACGAGACCCTTTGGCCATCCCGTCTGGGCTGCGTCCCGACCTCACTGCCCTTTTACTTCTAGCCCCAGTGAGTCCCTGCCCAGCTGGGGAGCACTCCCCACCCAGGCAGCCCGGCATCTCCCCTGCTGACCCCCGGGGCCTCTGGTCACAGCGTTCACTAGGCAGGAGCTGGGCTCTGAGCTGCCACAGGGCCCTCTGTGGCCCCGGCAAGCCGTCACTCCACTCCAGAAGTTTCCACTGGCACAAATCCCCGTCGCCATCATCGTTATTAAGAATAAAGGGTTTTGGGGCGACTGGGTGGCTCAGTCGGTTGGGCGGCCGACTTCAGCTCAGGTCATGATCTCGCGGTCCGTGAGTTCAAGCCCCGTGTCGGGCTCTGTGCTGACAGCTCAGAGCCTGGAGCCTGTTTCGGATTCTGTGTCTCCCTCTCTCTGACCCTCCCCCATTCATGCTCTGTCTCTCTATCTCAAAAATAAATAAACGTTAAAAAAATTAAAAAAAAAAAAGAATAAAGGGTCTTGGGGCGCCTGCGTGGCTCATTCGGTTCAGAGCCTGACTCTTGATTTCAGCTCAGGTCATGATCCCAGGGCCGTGGGACTGAGCCTCATGTCAGACTCTGCACGGAGCACAGAGCCTGCTTTTCTCTCTCTCCCTCTCCCTCTGCCCCTCTCCCCTTGTCGTGCACATGCTCTAAAAATTAAAAAAAAAAAAAAAAAAAAGAAAGAAAGCAATAAAGGGTCTCGTTTGTCCAGGGTCACTCCACGCCTGCCAAGGCCCGAAGCCCTTTTCGGCATCATCCGTGCTCCCGACAGTGTGACCGGATCGTCCCACCCGTGCCAGGAATGACCCGAGGGTTATGCGAGAGACCTGAGAAAAGTGACCCCGCTCCTGAGTGGCAGGGCCAGAAGCAAGCGTGTCTGTCACCAAGAGCCACGTTAACAAGCCACGAATGGCGGCATCCCAGGGCCGGGGCAGAGCCTCCCCCGGGCCGGCAGACGAGGCGCCGGGGCCTCCGTGTGCTGACCGGTCAGGCGGGTGTGGGACGTTCTCAGGCACGCGGACAGCCCTGACTTGCTGTCTCGGCCCAACTTGGCTCCCTCTCTTGATCCCAAAGCTACAGACGTGGCAAGAACTGATCCTGAGACAGGGAACACGGCCGAGCACGCTGGGTCGGGTTCCCCGATGCGTGTGCCTGAGTCCGACACCCCCGGCTGCCGAAGGCAAGAACCACGGCGTAAACCTGGCCCTGCTTCCTGTGGCTGCGAAGAAAGCCCTCACGCGGGACCCCATGCTGGCCGCTGGGCACCTGGCAAATAGCCCACGGGGACGGCCGGGACCCACACGCCATCTTGCCGTGGGGCGGCCAGGGCTCAGGGCCACAGGGCCCAACGTGTTCACGTGTGGCAGGTCCTGGGCTACCCTTCCCTTGTTCCCGGACACGCCCCGGAACTTAAATCCGCGGACGGTCACCGGGGCCGTTTCAGGCCACCGCCCTTGGTCAACCACCAAGCCAAAGCCCTGCAACTTCAGACCATACCCCACAAGGGCTCAGTCATCTCCAGCGGCAAGGCTTCCAGGACATACTGGGACCCCGCAAGGATGAAATGGGGTGCAGCTCCCAGTCAGGGCTGTGCCAACATGCTTCAGACACGGGCTCCCCGCCAGACACACACACGGACACGGGGAAACGCACTCATGGGCGCGTTCCGCGTTCTCGGTCAGAAGGATTTTCAAACTAGCCCGCTGCTACAGTTCACGGTCAAATGAGTTTCCGGGACATGTGGGAGGTGACCGGACCCGGCTGAGCGCCCCTGCCCAACCTTGGCTGTGCCCGTCCCGGAGTGTCCACACAGGGGGTGCTGAGCCCAAGCCGGCCCCTCGAGGAGCCTGGCTCAGGAATCAAACCCAATGGCGGTGATGGAATCTGGCTCCTGAATGGGGCAGCCGCCCAGCGGCCAGGCAGCCGCCGTCCTCCAGGGAAGAGGCAGAGACGGTCAAGAGGCAAATGGAGCTGGAACCTGGGAGGAAGGAGGGGAGAGGGACCCCCGGTCCAGCTAGGGTCCGTCCCTAAGGTCCAGCTGAACCCCTGCTGGGCCCTCCACTGAGGGAGTCCGGACCCTCATGAGCTGCTGGAAGGGCAGTAATCAGGGGCGCGGAGAACCTGGCGGCGTGGGAGGAACTGCGTCCCACTCAAATTTCTGTGCTGGGGTCCTGACCCCCAGCACCTCTGAATGTGACTGTATCTGGAACCGGGACTTTCCAGAGGTGATCAAGGTGACCACGGGGTCCTTGTAAGAAGAGGGGATCGGGACACAGACACGCACGGAGGGACAACCCCGTGAGGACACAGGGAGAGGACGGCCGGCCACACACAAGGAGAGAGGCCTCGGGAGGCCCCGGTCCCGCCCACGCCTGGACCTCGGGCTCCGGCCTCCAGGACCGGGAGTCAAGTATCTGCTGTTTAACAACAACCCGCACCCCCTGCCCTCCGTCTCTGGTGCTCCGTTATGCAGCCTGAGCAAATTAACACACTTCACACCAGAATGGGACCTCAGACAGAAACCAGACCAGTCAGGCCTCCCCCCGACACCTGCTCTGTGCCCCTGGCTTCCAACCACCCGTGGGAAGTGGCCAGAACAGGGTTTCAGCTGTCACCCCAGCAGCTGCCACTAGGAAGAGGCTGGACGAGGCCCCCCGGCTAAGGCTGGAGATCAAAGCTCTAAAGGCCTGGCCCAAGCCAGCTCCAAAAGACAAGAGATTTCTGAAGCTGGGCCTTCACAGAACGAGCAGGCAGCCAGGGAACGTCTTGCTTGGATTTTGTAACTAGAACCCTCACACCTGCCCCCCCACCCCTCACAGCTTCCCGGGTGACCCGGAGGCCCAAGCACCAGCCCCGGCAAGGTGGGGCGGGGACCCCTCCCCCAGCTCCCCCGGGGACCCAGCACGGTGGGCCGGGCGGGAACGAGGCAGCAACCGACAGGCCAGGCTTCGGGGGCATCACCCTCCCTCCTCGTGCAGGAACCTGTCCCCGCAGGCCAGCCAGGTGCCGCCGTGGCCTCGGCCCACAGGGGCCTGCCCCACGGCACACCACGGCCTCCAAGAGCGACAGGTTCTTTCCCCAGAGACTCACCTGCTTTGTCAGGCTCTGCAGCATCCGGGGGAGAAAATACTCCTCTGTTTGCCTGGGAGGGAACAGCACAGATCTGAGGATGAGCATCTAAGCCCCGGAGGAGGGATGGCATCCGAACGGGGACAAAAATCGGCCCGGGAGCTTCCAACCGATGTGGCAGCAAAGGACTGTAGGGCATGCACAGGTGCCCCGAGCGTCCGTTCAAGATAAAAAGGCGAGGACGGGCATGTTGGCGAAGATGCTGTGCATTTTACTCGGTGACACCGTGGCGCCCAGTGAGCTCCCGCCGGCTGGCTTCCCGGGGCCTTGGTGCTCGGCACTCCCGAGACACACGTCACGGGCATGATCTCCAAAGAGGGGGCGTCCGGGTGGAATCCCTGATCGGAGTCTCTGAGTCAAGATCACGCCGCGCTCGCCCAACACGCAATTACAAGCCTAAACGATAAAGTTACGCTCCAAACGGAGTAAGACGGACCGAGTCTAACACCTCCCACGCCGCCCCCGGACAAGGCATCCCCAGGTGCCACGCTGAAAGGCAGAAGGCACGAAGCGACGCCTCCCGAGTCCGACCGCAAAGGGGCCGTTACGGGATGCTGCCCGAAGACGTTCTGTGAGCTGCGGCTCTTGCTCCCTTCTCAGAACTCACGGGAGCCTCCCGCGGTGACCTCAGTGGTCGCTGCCTAAGTAAACCACAAAGCTGGGAAGCTGGAGGGCGATGCCTTCTGTCCCGCGCTAAGGCCGGGGACAGGACCTCCCAGCCGCCTCGCCGCCCCACAGCGAGTCTGCGATCCACCATTCACGGTTTGCCGCCACGGGTGTCGCTGCGTCACGATGAACTTTAGAGGGAGGAGCCGGCCAAGGCCTGTCCCTTCCTCCGCCTGCACCCCCCGCGAGGTGCACCGAGCACCAGCCCGGAGCAGGACCGCCAGGGCACAGGCGTGCTCACCTCCCCTCTCCTCCTCTCGGCCCCGAGGCCCGCCCTCCCCTTGTACCCGGCCGGTGCGTTTTGCAGGTTCACCGAGAGCCAAAAGACGCCGTGTAAGAGTCCCGTGCCGCTGCCGTAGCTGGTCACTCGAGGCTCGGCTCAGGCCGGCCCGGGGCCCCGCACCTGACTGTTTGCACAGCCTGCACCTTTCTCCGGCTGGACGCCCCTGCTTCTCAGCCAACGCCGTCCGGAAAGATCCCAGCAGCGCACTCCCGCCAAGAAACCATCCTCGGCCGTGCTGAATACAAGTCTTCTCCCCCCTCGGGGGCGCCAAGAGCCCCTGCCACCCCTGTGCCTGGATCTGGGGTCTGTCTAAGAACATAATGAAAACGAGTAGGTTCTTAAAGTCTCTGCACTCGAGCATCAGGTTTTTGTTTGTTTTGCTTTCTTAAGAGGCCTGGAACTGCACTTTGAACCTGTCGTGGGTCCATTACGAGGGCCGGGCCACAGTAATCTGGCCGTTTTATCGTTTTATCGTCTGCATTTTGGCACAGCTCCCAGGTGGCCTTAATGTTGCCAAAATGCGAGCTGGTCGCTCCGGCTCGCCGCCCCTTCCACAGGCTCGAGGAAATGCGCGAGGCTGAAGGAGTCACCGTGAGACCCACGCGCCCACCCCGGGCAAGAGCGGGCACGCTCCCAGTAAATTCAGAGACAGCACGACCCCATAAAAAGTCTCAAACGAGAGATGATCGGATGCTGGAAAAAGATGAAAAGCGAGCTTGTGAACTGGGAAAGGAATCGGAAAGACGTGCTGATCTGGGCAGCCCCGAGCAGCACCAGACCGGAGCCTCCGGCAGACTCCTGCGCAGGGCGGACTCAGGGGGGTGAACCCCGGAGGAGGTACAAACAAACAGGCAGAGAAGAGGAAAGACACGTACGATATCCAGGGACACGTGACCCGCACACAGCGGAGGCTCCTGGACAAGAGCGAGAGAACGAAATCCTTTGAAGACGGGAAATTAGAAAATGTTCCTGAAATCAAAAACCCGACACTCACGTCCAAGACACTCACGGCTCAGGGCGCCTGGGGACCCAGGCAGTTGAGTGTCCGACTCTTGGTTTCGGCTCAGGTCGTGATCTCCCGGTTTGTGAGTTCGAGCCCCACGTCAGGCTCTGTGTTCAAGCCCGGAGCCTGCTTCCAGTTCTGTGTCTCCCTCTCTCTCTGCCCCTCCCCCGCGTGCACTCTGCGTCTCTCGTTCTCTCTCAACCATAAAATAAGCATTAAAAAACAAAGAGAAATGATGCTCGGTGTAAGGAAGTATGAGAAAATGAAAAAGAGCTCTTAGAGAATAGAAAGTAGAGGGATGGAATCTTCCAGGACGTGGGAAAGAAAGGTCACGACAGTTAGAGAAGCTGGTCCGGGAGAGTCTGATCTCCGATCAAGAGGCATTTCAGAAACAGAAAACAGAGAAAACAGAGCAGGACTCGCCCAGAAAGGACACGACGTTCACCCAAAACACGGGGGCCCTGGAGAGCCGAACACGGGAGCCCGGACACCCGCACCAGGGCTCACAGGATACAATTTTAAAACACCAAAGACGAAGAGAAGCTTCTGCGAGTGCCCACACAGAAAATGCCCCCAAGAGCGAAGAAGAATCCGCACGGCGACCCCTCACCGAGGGCACAAGCCTCCAGGCAATCCTTCACACGATACCTCCAAAACCAGGAAGGAGCATTATTTCTAACCTATAATTTGTTTTCCACTCTGCAAAACTGCTCATCACATGGAAGAGACAAATGAAAACACTTGCAGGCAGGCAAAGTGCCAAAAGTCCACCTTCCGTGGATCGTTACTTAGAAAAGTGCGACTTTGTGATTTATGATGAGAAGGCACATTGGGTCTTTCTGGAGCTCAGCTCCCGAAACCCTTAGAATTTCCTGCGACAGGAGCCACCGTGTCCTCGTTACGTCGTTATGTCGTGAGTGGCGTGGAGAAGGGTCCCAGGGAGGGGCGCTGGCTCCCCGGGGAGTGGGTCGGGGAGGTGGACTTTCCGTCCCCGTCCCCAGACCTGGGGACAGAGCCAGGCCGGGGGTGGAGTTCAGGGGCCAAAGGCCAACGACGTAACCAATCAGGCCTGTGTAAGGAAGCCTCCGTAAAACCCCGCAGGATGTGGTTCCGGGTTCGGGGAGCTCTTGGGTTGGTGACCGCGTGGAGATCCAGCGCACCTCCGCGCTCTCCCACCCACCTGTCCAGAGCATATCCTTGTGTGTTAGAGCCGTGATCTAGGAATTGAACCCAAGGTGGGGGCGTGGAACCTCGAGAATCTACTGGAAGCCGTGTCCCAGCGAACGAGCCACTCGTCAGAGACGAGTGAGGCCGGACGCCCAGCAGCCCGGGCGAGAGAAGCCCCACCTGCCCGTGCCGGAACTGGGTGGCAAGCACAAAAATCCCGTTTTCCCACATAAAAATACCGACCATCCAAAAATCTAACGCTGAAGTTCTGTTTCAGCAGCAGCAGTGACGATAAATGAAAAGCAGCAACCATAACAAGAGGACAGGGCAGGGCTGCTCAACCGGGGACGGTCTTGCCCCCGGGAGACATCTGGCAACGTCTACAGACACCTGAAGTTGTCACAAAGGGACGTATCTACCGGGAGGTCAGCCGCTGCACAGCTTGCCACACGGACGGCAGTCCCAGAGCGACCAGTTGGGGCCGAGAAAGCCTGGCACACGGGGTAACTGGAGACACAAGGTGCCCCGCGAGATTTCTGTGATCTGTGACAGGTCATCTGTATAGCAGCAGCATCAAATAGCGGTACTTAGGGGCGCCTGGGGGGCGGGGCTCAGTCGGTTGAGCATCCAGCTTCGGCTCAGGCCATGATCTCACAGTCCGTGAGTTCCAGCCCCACGTCGGGCTCTGTGCCAACAGCTCAGAGCCTGGAGCCTGCTTTGGATTCTGTGTCTCCCTCTCTCTCTGTCCCTCCCCAGCTCACTCTCTCTCTCAAAAATAAATAAACAGAGGCGCCTGGGTGGCTCAGAAAGTTAAGCGTCCGACTTCGGCTCAGGCCATGATGTCACGGTTTGTGGGTTCGAGCCCCGCGTCAGGCTCTGAGGAACCTGCTTCGGATTCTGTGTCTCCCTCTCTCTGCCCCTTCCCTGCTCGTGTTCTGCCTCCCTCTCTCTCTTAAAAATGAATAAACATTAAAAAAAAAAAACAAAAAACAGCGGTACGTAAATGGCAGGAACTTGTCCCAGACTCGCACGTCTCTCCCCCAGTGACCTGGGCCACACACAGGGAAGACCCGAGACAAGCGTCCACAGGGCGGTCACAGACCACGCCCTTTGGTGCCGGGCACCGTGACTCACCGAGTCCTGGACCAGGGGGTAAACCAGCGTAGCTCCCGATAGTTGCCCTTGTTTGCCAAGGCCATTTTGGGCCTGATGAGCAGGATCCTCCTACAGGCGGGAAACCGAGGTGGCCCCTGAGATGAACACCCGGTCACGAGGGGCACCCGTGGGTCCACGCGCCCCGGACGGTGGACGGACGACCACAGAGCAGCCGAGGCCCGGCAGGTGCACGCCGTGCGAGCAGCCAACGTCCAGGGGCCTTTAGGGGAACGTGACAGACCGCCCGCCCTCCGATGACTTCTGGCCAACAGGGCCACGTGTCCCCAAACCCCACCCTGAGGTTTCTCTCCACTGAAGGTGGCAGTGCTGGGCGGAGGCCAGGGGAAGCAGTGACGTCACCTGCCCGAGGCATCGGCCCTCACCAACGACCGGGCGTTTCCAGAAGACGCCTCCTAGCACAGGGCTCCAGGGGCCATGTCTGGGGTGGGGCGTGCGGGTTCCCCTCTCCCCGTGGCCACCTACCTGTTGAGAAATATCACCCTGCAGTTGTAGCGGACGTTCCGGTGCATCACGGGCCTGCGGAGAGAAGGCACACACACGCGTCCTTGAACGGCAAAACCACACGTCTGTTTTAATACGAAGCCTCCTCGGGCCCTTGAAGAGGGTCACAAGGCCCCTCTGTGGCTTTTCTCAAAGTTAAAAACGAGCCAAGGGCTCTGCCACGGTTTAGACTCTGAGACGAAAGAGGCTCTTCTAATGTTTATTTTTGAGGGAGGGAGGGAGAGAGAGTGTGTGCCAGCACATGGGGGAGGGGCAGAGAGAGAGGGAGACAGAATCCGAAGCGGGCTCCAGGCTCCGAGCTGTCGGCATAGAGCCCGACGTGGGGCTCGAACCCTCGAACCCGGAGATCATGACCTGAGCTGACGTCGGCCACCTAACCGGCCGAATCCCCCCAGAGCGCCCCCGGGGCTCTTCTAAAGGAAACACAGTCAACCCCTCTTGCGGCTGTTCCTCCTCCTGGAACGTTCTCAGACCTGTCAGTGGCCTCGTCCCTAGCTCTCTGCACACACCCGTCACCGGTTCACCTCTGTCCCCTCCCAGCCTCATGCACCAGCTCTGTGCCTTCCCGCTTCTCCTTCAGACCACTCCTGACCTGCCACCTACACCCCTTTTAGAAGGTGGGTCTCCTAGGGGGTGAACAGATTCGCCCGCCGCTCTGACCGGACCCCGCCCCGACCACCTGGGGTGCTCCCCTCTGGAGGTCAGGGGCAAAGCTCCAGAAGCCAGTGCTCTGCTGGCCCCGGGCGGGGGCGCGGCTGCACAGATCAAGGATATGAACGTTTTGTTCAGGAGCTTATAGGCCCAGATAAATGCTAGATTTCGAAGGAACATATCTTCATAAGTTGGTGGTTAACGTTTTAAGAACGAAAACAGGATTATAAACGCCAAGTCAACAGAAGAAAGCAGAGCACAGAAAACCAACCTCAGACAAGGGAAAACAAGAGGATGACAAGATGGCCAGGCCACTTAGCACAACCGCAGGGACCAGCCCCCGTGGCGGCTGGATCAGGAGCCCAGGGACGGCCCCGGGCCCATTTCCTCACCTTCCTTGGCGAGGGGGACTTTGCAGAAGTGATGACTAAGGCGGCCCAGGGCCGCCCAGGACAGTCCCAAGTCCTAACGCGAGGGGGGAGGGGTCAGAGTGCAGACACGCGCACAGAAGCGGAGGTCGAGGCGAGCCTCCGCTGGCTTCGAAGGCGGAGGAGGCCCCGAGGGTTGCTGGCCTCTCTCTCTCTGCGAGAGCCTCCGGGCTGACCCATATTTAAGACTTCCGACACCCAGAAACACAAGACAAAGTTTTTGCGTTGTTTCTGTGTTTCGCTGCCACCATCTGTCACGGCAACAACAGAACAGGGAACAAATACAGTCCACGTACCGCCACCGATCGTGATAAACGTGGACACAGCGGGTTAAAAATCCCATCTGTGCGCTGCTTACGCTAGGCCCTAGGTCGTGTCACAGCGACGTGGAAAATGAAGCAGTGGGTTCGCGTATGGTGCACCTGCACCCTCCACGCCTGCACCCCTGGAACCCGCCCCTCGTTCACCTGCACCCCTGAAACACACACCCCTTACGCCTGCACCCCTGGAACCCGCCCCTCGTTCGCCTGCACCCCTGGAACGTGGCCCCCGTCCGCCTGCACCTCCCATGTACGTGCCCCATAGACGCCTGTGCCCCTCGGAACCTGCGCCCCACGCACCCGCCCCCATGTACATCTGCGCCCCTGGAACCAGCACTTACATTCCCACGTCACAGATGATATCCTGAGTGACTGGAGACTCCAAAAGGGCAGCCAGGACTTGGAGCGAATGCAAGAGGGTGTCCGACTCGTAATAATGATCCCAGCACCCGTAGCCGCTGCAGAGGAAGGGAACAGCCAGGTGAGACCTGGAGACATACCAGGTGAGGGCGGGGAGGGGGGCCGGGGCCCACGGGCCAACCGGGTCAGACGTGCAGGGGCACGGCCAGGCAGTGGGATCTTTTTAAAGCCTCCTGGCTGATTCCACTGCGCAAGCAGAGCTGGGACCGCCGCTACAGAAGAGGATGCATTTCACGCGAAATGAAGAAACCCCAGGCCCTTTCTCTTCACTTTCGGTTACTATGAGAAATTTTCTCCCGTCAAGTGTCTGCCCGTGGATTTTTTTTTAAACTTTTAATGCAGCCCAAATCACACTGATCTACAAGCAAAAGAAACAAGGCTGGGTCCACAGGAACGTGTTTCCAAGCAGCTAAGATCGTTAATATCGTTCCAAACACCATTCACAGAGCGACTCCTGGTTCTTGCTACAGACACTTGTGCTGGAAGCAGGCCGAATGGTGTCCCCTCCCCAGAAAGGTGTGTCCATGATCCTGGCCCCCAGAACCCGTGAGTGTGACCGCATAAGGGAAAAGCGTCTTTACAGAAGTAGTTAAGGATCTCGAGATGAGCCCAGATGGCCTGGGCAGGTCGTGTATCCAACAGGAGGACACAGAGAAGGGGGGGGGGGGGGGGTGTGTGGAGCCAGAGCCGGAGGGACACGGCCACAGGACAAGGCGCTGGGAGCAGAAGCGGGAGGAGGCAGGATGGATCTTGCCCTGGAGCTTCTGGAGGAAGTGGGGCCCCGCCAGCACCCCGAGTCTGGACTTCTCCCGAACCACGAGAGAACAAATTTCGGCTGTTTGAAACCCCCCTCCCCCGGCGTGGGGAGCTGCGTTACAGCACCCCAGGAGACGCATGTGGCGCTCCGGGACGTCGTCGAGGGTGAAGACGGGCGTCAGGGCAGTTTCTGGGAGCTGGGCGGGGGGGGCCCAGTAACAACGCACGGAGTGTCTGTAAACTGCTTCTAGGCGTTCAAAGGCTTTCCCGCCTACCACGCAGCAGCCTGGAAGCGACGTGCCAAGTGTTGGGCAAACTGCACACACGGACGCAGACCCCCCAACTGGCACTTGCATATTGAATGTCTGGAAAGCATGCCTCCCCGCCTCTGCTTCCGAGAGGAAAAGCCACGGTGGTGAGATGAGAACGAGGTCGACGAGTTGTCCCGTGAGGGCTCAAGCCCTGGGCTAGCCTTTCCTTTCCAAGGGCAGAGTCCTGCTCCACAGGATTCATGGCCTGGCAGCTCCCGGGCCACACAGGCTACCAAACAGCAACGCGATGCCAGAAGTCACGTGCCTGATGTCCAGCCATCGGTTGACCCCTCGCCCCTTTGGCCGGCCGGCAACTGGAGGGGCATCTCATAGCGGGGGCTGTCGGCAGGTGCCCCCGGCCCATTCTGGGTGGGCAGCCTTCCATCCGTGAAGCCTGTAAAACGGGCCCAGAGGACACAACCAGCCTCTGGGTCCCACGAGTCAGCCTGCCGCAGTGGCACTGGCCCCTCATTCTCCTTCCAAGTGTCCCTCTGGGGTGGGAGTTGCCTGGCACCAGAGACAAGAGGACAGCGTGCCCAGTGAACGGACCTGGCTTGACTCCTGCCCCAGCTTCCTCTCTGCAGACTGTTGCAAATAACTGTGAGCCTGCTCGGCAGGCTAGAAACCACTGGGAGCCCAGCTCAGCTGGGCCCTTATCCCTGCTTGATACAAGTATGCCGCCCTGGGGTCCTGTAGCTAAACTCCTCCCCCTTTTAAAATGACAGGTCCAGGGGCGCCTGGGTGGCGCAGTCGGTTAAGCGTCCGACTTCAGCCAGGTCACGATCTCGCGGTCCGGGAGTTCGAGCCCCGCGTCGGGCTCTGGGCTGATGGCTCAGAGCCTGGAGCCTGTTTCCGATTCTGTGTCTCCCTCTCTCTCTGCCCCTCCCCCGTTCATGCTCTGTCTCTCTCTGTCCCAAAAATAAACATTGAAAAAAAAAATTTAAAAAAAGATAAAATGACAGGTCCAGATTTGGAGACCGGAGGGTGGGGTGGGGAGAGAACAGGGCAAAGGAGGACGTAACCTGGAGGTGTCTGGGCAGCGACTGCACCCGGGGGACAGGGCCGTTGAGGACAACCCTCCAGTGGGAAGAACAGACCGAGACAGGAGCTCAGGAGCAGAAGTCACTCGGACAACGCAGGACCCCAGGGCTCTGGCCGCCGGCTGAGAAGCATCTTAAAGACCAGGTCCGGTGCAGGTGAAAACGCTCTTGGGTATTATGGGAAACACCACCCGAGCTGAAGTCAGGAGTCCGAGGACAGAAATCAAGCTAGCTAGAAAAATGACAGGCGTGGCCTCAAGGACTAACACAAAGATGCCTGCGAGGAGACGCTTTCTGTCTACACAGCCCCCAGGAGGGACTTCTGATTCCACAAACGGCGAGGACCTGGACACACAAAACGGGAACACAGAGGAGCACGGAGGGTGGCTGACGTGTGTCACAAACGAACCGCGGCTTGCAGTGTGGCAACCAGTTGCTTCCTTTTGAGGAAGGGACAAGGAGGAACCAGCTTCCCGATCACTGGAAGAAGGCAGGGCAGAAGGGGACGCCAACACTCGCTTGTGGAAAGATGCGGAGGCAGTGAGTGAGACCTGTTTGTGGCCGGCTATGAGAGTGAGGACTTGGGAAGGGTGGCAGCAGACAGAGCGGCCCAGCCCGGGCGGCTGAATCTCAGCTCCTCTCATGACCCGACACGGGGCTCCAGGCTTGCCCGGGCGCCCTCGCTCGGTGACGCGAAGCGGACCCGCTCACGGGTTTCTGACGCCCCTAAACAGCCCTGCACGTCCACACCTGTCCACACCCGCCCCCTTCCTTGCCTTTCTGCTGCGGGGAGCTGATGTGGATACCTCTGCCTTCCCCGCCCTGGGAGTCTCTGTGTGCCAGTCTCACCATATTTCCAGTTCTGGTCCAAGCCTGTATGTTGCTCCTTTGCATTTGGCAATTTCGATACCTACACATGGAGGCAGAGACAGAAAGATTTCAGTACCTGCAACGTGTTCAAGGGCAGACAAAATACCGCTGCAAGCCAGACAACAACCAAAAGCACTCGGTGATCTCCCTGACCCCAGGCAGCCAAGGACCAAGGACAAGGACGAGACCCCCTACACACCCTGCTTACACCCTTTGGAAGCAAGACGCTGATCCTTAGCCCCTTGGGGGAGGGGGAGGAGGAAGCAGTCAGTCCCTGGTAGTTTATTAACAAGTGGATGCGGAAGACCGTGCGCAGGGAGGAGGCAGGCCTCCAAGGAGCACAGCCTATGGCGGCACCAGCAACCTCTGCTTGGGGACAGCAGCGCCCAACTGCACCTGCGGACAAGAGGCCAAGAGAAAGGAGACCCCGCTCTGGCCACCGACCGCCTTGCTCCAACCCGATATGCTCTGAGCCCCGAGGAGATGAAAACAGGTAGATGTTGGGAAAAAAGAAAAAAAAAAAAAAAAAAGGATGACGGTCTGGAGGCACGTGGCTGAAAAGATGCTGTCATTGGTGCCATTCCGTCGTGGCTGTTCTTAGTGAGCCCTCTCTCGGGAATCGGCTCAGAACAAGACGGCTGGGGTAACCTGAAGGACGGCCCCTTCACGTGCAGGTGTGGGCCGCTGGACCTTCCACCATCAAAGAGAGGCTGGTGCCGAGGCTAAAGAGATGCTGGCCCCACGACAACCACACCCTAGTCTCTAAGCTTGCAGGCTCACCCCTTACTCTGCTTGCCTCTTGGGGCCGGCTTCTCCCAAAGTCTGCCCATCAGGAAGATCTGTAGGCACCAGAGACCGTAACAGCCCTCCCGCTGGTCTTAAGGGTTGACTGGCTTCAAGTTCATGCGCTCCTTGCTTGCAACCTAAGTCCTCGGTCTGTAGCAGAACTGACCCACTGTCCTGAGACCTGCAGACCACTGGCCTTGAGGAGAAAAGGACCGGACTCTCCCAGAAGTTAAGGCCTGACTGCGTTCGGAAACGGCGGCCGCAGATGCCAGCAACTGTGCCCAGGGTCATGTCCACATGCGACTGCCCCTCCCCCCCAGGCACCTGCTTCTCCCGCACCTTCCCCTTCAAAACCCTCCGGCTCCCCACCCCCATGGGGAAGATGGCCTTTGACACATAAGTCCACCAGGTTGCCGGGTTCCTGAATAAAGCATACTTTCCTTTCAACTTGTCTCTCCAGCAGCCAACTGCAAAACCTGAGTTTGGAACCAGTTGGGTGCAGGCTAAGCCGCACGGGACCCCAGGATCATCTGAGGGCGGGCAAGCCTCATCTCTCTCATCCCCACCTCTGCCTTCCCGGTGACACTTTTCCCAGTGCCCGTGTACAACACGTGTTCCCACCAGGCATGACAGACCACCCCCAACTCACGAGCAGCCCTGGGCACTTGCGGGGTGGTCCTTCTGCATCATCTTACCTGTCCCCACGCCCACCCCTACGAGCTTCCACAGAGCAAAGATGTGCGTGTAACAGAATCGAGCCAGCCGGCAAGCCTGGACCTTGCCCCCGCCCCATCCCGCCGGCCCCCAACCCCGTCCCCCCGCCCCTCCAACCCCGTCCCCCCAGTTCCACCGAACCCCCAACCCCGTCCCTCCTCCCCCCCTCCCGGTTTTCCCGTCAACCCCCGTCCCCCTACCCCGGTCCCCCTCCACCCCCCTCTACTGTCCTCCCTCGCTCCCCCCAGTTCCACGACCGGCCCCCACCGCGCCGCCCCCAGACTCACTCTTTAAAATCCTCTGCAAATTGCCCTCGAAGTCCAGGGCCCATTGGTTGAGCGCGCAGGTGGCCACGGTCACTTTCCGACCCATCCCGGCGGCAGAGTCCCGGGCACTTCCGGGCGCCGCGCGGGTCCGGCCGGGACTAGCGGGCTCTGGACGGCGGAGCCCCGGCGGCAGGCCCCGCCCACGCCCCGCCCGCCCGCGACCGCGCCTGCGCAGAAAGGAGGCCCGCCCCCCTCCGCGCCCCGGGTTGCAGGCCCGCGACCCAGCGCGGGGGGCGGTCGCTGGGTTCCGGAGCGCGGTTCCCCGTTTCATTCCGCACCTCCCCACGGAGTGCAGCCCGGGTGCCTCGGCGACTCGGCTTTTCCCTCTCCAAGTGTTAGATACGCTGTTTTCATGGTTTTTCTGCGGTGTGGCGCTGCATGGTGGGCCCGGAGCACGAGCGATCCGTTGCGTGCTGGAGGCTTCCGCACCGTTCGCGGCGCTGTGCCAAGGCGCGCGCGGTGTCTCCTTCGCGGCCGCCTGGCCTTTCCCTGGGTCTACGGGCGGCTTCTGGGCTCAGCAACACGCCGTTGCCACATTTCTCCCCTGAAGCGCTTGCCGCACCTTTCACCACCAGCCGGCTTTCACTTAACGCATTTCCTTCTTGAATTCCTTTAGGGTACGAATCCGGTTGGTTTTTTCCTTTTCCGTGTGAATAAGTAACTCTCACCATCACTGATGGAACAATCCGTCTTTTTCTCTTGACCTCCGTTGCTTCTTTGTCATACACACGTTTTCACATTTAAAATACATTCCCCCCCGCCTCAACAGGTTGAGCGTGGGACTCTTAATTTTGGCCCAGGTCATGATCTCACGGTGTGGGATGGAGTCCAGCCTCGGGCTCCCCGCTGGGCGTGGAGTCTGCTTCTCCCTCTCCCTCTGCCCTTGATTACCTGAGCGCCCTCCCTCTGTCTCTCAAAATAAGCATTTTATAAAGTAACACTTGTTTATACTAGACAATTTGGGAACTTGAGAACTGCACATGCTAATTTATTTAATCCTCACTCTAACCCTTCCTTCTTGATAGCTTTCATTCTCAGAAACCCCTCAGTTTTTTTCAGGCTTCTGCTCCAAGATCTCTTGCCCCCAACAGCTGATTCCAGGCCTAGGGTGGGAAAGAAATACACTTCCAACATCTGGTTGTTGCAGGAAATAAGGAAGTGCTCAAAGAATGATGGGGACATGCTATTTTTAAAAAAGAGGGGTGCCTGGATGGCTCAGTCAGTTAGGTGTCCAACTGGCTCAGGTCATGATCTCCCAGTTCATGAGTTAGAGCCCGGAGACGGGCTCTGTGCTGACAGCTCAGATCCTGGAGCCTGCTTTGGATTCAGTGTCTCTCTCTCTGCCCCTCCCCTGCTCGTGCTCTCTCTCTCTCTCAAAAAGCAAATAAACATTAAAATTTGTTTTAAAAATTCAAAAGGAGTCACTCTGAAGGGTCTCCCACTGGCTAAATATGGGACAATATCCAAAGATAATGTCCTCTTTTGAAAAAAGATTAATGACAGTACAGACAGTAGAGAACTCAGTGAGTAAAAAAAAAAAAAACCCATTAGTCCATACTGACCAAGAAATGAAGAGAGGGAAATCTTTTCCAAAAAAATGTCAATAAACGTGGAAGGAAAGATGATGAAATTAGAAAATCACCCCTTTACAAGAAGTAAATGACTCAGGCAAGGGTCCTCATTAAATGCAAGATGACTGGCTAAAAGGTTATCTGGAAGCAACATAGTTACAGTCTCAAAGTTTCACTCCACGGATTATTTATTAATTACCGAAGGAAAAATGGAGACTTCTGGCCGCAGCCACCTGATCACCAGTAATGGGATGCAGGGGCATCCCGCGGCCTCCTGACATGGTGCGTGAAGACATCGCATCATCTCTTTAGTACATTGTCCTGCCCCAAATGCATTACCTAAATGCAAGGGTGAGGAAAACCTCCAAATCCAAGTTGAGAGACAAGCTGAGAAAAGCTTGCCTCTTTGACTCTTCAAAATCATTGTGTCATGAAAGGGCCAAAAAGACACACGAAAAGAAAGAAAGAAAGAAAGAAAGAAAGAAAGAAAAAGAAAGAAAAGGTAAAAAGGCTGGGACTGTGCTCTAGATTAAGGAATGCTAAGGAGCCTTGACAACTAAATGCATGGTGATTCCCAATTGGATACTGACTTTTACTGATAGCTGTAAAGGACATTATGGGGACAATTGGGGGAAGCTGAATATGGACATTAGATAATAGCATTGGGTTGATGCGAAATTTCCTGAGGGTAATGCATTTTATTTTGGTAACGTGAAACATGGATGCTGAAGTATTTAGGAGGAGGACGTCACCTGCAGTGAATTAATAGTTGAGGATAAAAAGTGGGGTAGAGGTGATAGAAAGAAATAAATTGTGGCAAACTGTTGTCAGCTGCTGAATCTAGGAGTATGGGTGTTCACTCTAGTCTATGTTCACCTGGTTTGTATGTTTGACATTTTTTCAAAATAAAAAAATGCAGGGGAAAAAAACCTGTCACTATGAGGGACACAGAGGTGTGCCAATCAGATCCGGATGCAAACCGAGGCCTTAGGCCTTCGTCCCAAATGTTGGCCTGCAGACACCTTCTGTGGCCCACCCCTCCAGGGGCTGCTCGAGTTGCACAGCTGCCCTTCCCAAGGCCATGTCCTTGCAAGGGTGGCCCTGTGCCCTTTTCCAGACGCAGGAGCATGTGGCTTGGGCATTCCTGTCCAGGAGGACGGCTGTGGTGTGCTGTTATCACCGGAGCTGTCCCGTGCGCAAACACGTCGCCCAAGGCCACCTTGCGTCACAGCTCAACTTCTCCCTCCTTCCACCCCTGCTTCTTCTTCCCCTCCCACCTCGCAGGGTGATCCCGACCCTAAACTGCGTCTCCCTCACTTCTGGGGAAACCAGACCCGCCGGGCCTCCCAGCAGAGCCCCCTCCGACACCCCCAAATCAAACTGGTACACGCTCAACCTCTCCCGCACTGCGCGCATCCTCGCCACACCACCTTCGTTATCTGACACCCTCCCTGTCTGACGCGGCCCGAGCAGGTGCGGGGTCCCGCTGGCGCCGCCCGCCCGCCCGCCAGCCGCGGGGCGGGCCCTCGGCCGTCAATCTCGCGGCCCCCCGGCGCCGAGTGGCGCCTGCGGTGGCCCGGAGTCAGCTCAGGGGGTGGGGCGAGGCGCGCGGCCAATCGCGGGTCTCGGGGCCGCCGGCCGCGCCGGGGCCGATTGGTCTTCTGTAGGAACGCGTCAGCCTGGGGGCGGGGCTTCGGGTGGGCCCTGCCAGGCCGGGACTCCGGGACTCGGGCGGGTTCCGAGCCGGGCGCTCAGGTGAGCGGGGGCGGTGCAGCCGGTGGGGGGCCCGCGGGTCGGCGGGGCGTGCGCGGGTCGAGATGCTGTGCGTGCAGGTGAACCGGCGGGGGTGGTCGAGGGCGGGGTGCCCGCTCTGTGCCCCCCTGAGCTCTTCCTGCAGCAACGTGAGTAAAGAACCAGGCGCCACATCGGGTGCCCAGATTTAAGACGCGGGCAACGAGGGGCTGCCCAGTGGAGGGAAGAGGACCTTTTGTATCCTCTTGGTAGCGGAAAATGACCCGCTCAGAAGAGCGCAATTCGGCGACTTTCTTCTTGATAAAATGTTGAGGAGTCTTTTTTTTTTTTTTTGGATGCATATCCAGTTTACTTATTTATGTATTTATTATTTAATTTATTTTTAAAATTTACATCCAAGTTAGGGCATATAGGGCAACAGTGATTTCCGGAGTAGATGCCTTAGTGCCCCTCCCCCATTTAGCCCCTCCCCCCTCCCACAGCCCCTCCAGCAACCCTCTGTTTGTTCTCTGTATTTAAGAGTCTCTTGTGTTTTTGTCCCCCTCCCTGTTTTTATATTATTTTTGCTTCCCTTCCCTTATGGTCATCTGTTTTGTCTCTTAAAGTTCTCACATGAATGAAGTTATATATTTGTCTTTCTCTGCCTAATTTCGTTTAGCGTAATACCGTCTAGTTCCGTCCACGTAGTTGCAAATGGCAAGATTTCACTCTTTTTGATGGCCGAGTAAGACTCCATTGTATCTATATCCCACATCTTCTTGATCCATTCATCCATCAGTGGCCATTTGGGCTCTTTCCATCCTTTGGCTGTTGTCGATAGGGCTGCTATAAACATGGGGGTGCATGTGTCCCTCCGAAACAGCACACCTGTATCCCGTGGATAAATGCCTCGTAGTGCGATTGCTGGGTCGTAGGGTAGTTCTATTTTTAGTTTTTGGAGGACCCTCCACACTGTTTTCCAGCGTGGCTGCACCAGCTTGCATTCCCACCAGCAGTGCAAAAGAGACCCTCTCTCTCCGCATCCTCGCCAACATCTGTTGTGGCCTGAGTTGCTTGCTCATGGGAGCCATTCTGACCAGTGTCAGGTGGTGTCTCGCTGTGGTTTTGATTTGTATTTTCCTGATGGTGAGTGATGTGGAGCCTTTTTTCATGTGTCGGTCGGCCATCTGGAGGTCTTCTTTGGAGAAGTGTCTATTCATGTCTTTTGCCCATTTCTTCTCTGGATTATTTGGTTTTTTGGGTGTTGAGTTTGCGAAGTTTTTTATAGATTTTGGATACTAACCCTTTATCTGATGTGTCGTTTGCAAATATCTTCTTCCATTCTGTCGGTTGCCTTTTAGTTTTGCTGATTGTTTCCTTCGCTGTGCAGAAGCTTTTGATTTTTATGAGGTCCCAATAGTTCATTTTTGTTTCTGTTTCCCTTGCTTCCGGAGATGTGTGGAGTAAGAAGTTGCTGCGGCCGAGGTCAAAGCGGTTTTTGCCTGCTTTCTCCTCGAGGACTTTGATGGTTTCCTGTCTTACACTTTGGGCTTTCATCCACTTTGAGTTTATTTTTGTGTCTGGTGTAAGAAAGTGGTCCGGGTTCATTCTTCTGCGTGTTGCTGTCCAGTTTTCCCAGCACCCCTTGCTGAAGAGACTGTCTTTATTCCCTCGGATATTGTTTCCTGCTTTGTCAAAGATTAGTTGGCCATACGTTTGTGGGTCCATTTCTGGGTTCTCTATTCTGTTCCATTGACCTGAGTGTCTGTTCTTGTGCCAATACCATACTTTCTTGATGATGACAGCTTTGTG